ATCACTAAATCTCACTTTAGTCATTTCATTTTAAATTTTTGTCAACTTCATTAATAGTAAATGAACAAAAGGATAATATCATATTGAGGAGTTGATTGTCACAATTGAAAGTGAAAAAACTAGAATAAAATTATATATGAAAGTATAAGGATACCAAGTGTAATTAACTCATAAATAAATATGATAAAATACAAATAAATTACAAATACAACTCTGAGGTTTGCTAAAATTAAATTACTCCTTGAGTTCTGAAAATTACAAACTACTCCATTATAGAATTTTTTATTTAACATAATTAAAAAAAAAATTCCTAAATAATTTTTATACAACAATAAAATTATAAGAATGGTTAATTAAAACATATTTATGACATTTATTAAAATTAATTAATTAATTTAATAATTTATTAATAAAATATAATTTTATTATATGATTAAAGCATGAAGAATGAAATATATATTTTTAAAATTATTAAAAAATAATTTATATTTTAAATAAAAAATATTCATTATTTTAAATAAACAATTACAAAAATATATTCATAATTTTCCTTAAAATTAAAAAGTCTCTCTCAGTCGAAGTGTCGAGCAAGTGATAAGTAAATATGTCAGCATTTGCAAAGCTGTATTGAATTGGTCCTCACGAGTTAACGCGTTTATTGTCAAAGGTTGTTCATCTGTATTCCAATCCCTTGAATTAAAAAGTGGAAATTATGTCACCGTTTGGGGAGGTGGGTTGAAAGTTTTTTTTTGGCTATTTTTTTATTTATTTATAAAAGATAAAATAAGTTATTTTAGTCATAATAAATAAAATATCACATCTAATTCATAATTATTACACTCTTCTCTCACAAAAAAAAAGTTAAGAAAATCAAAAAGTTCTTCCCAAACCAAACTTTTTAACTCTAAAAAAAATCAAAAAGTTAAAAAGTCAACCCACTTTCCAAACGACACTTTAGTGAACGTATATATAGATTTTGATTTCGTTTGGAAAGGGTTAATTTAGTTTGACTTGCTAACTTCAACAATAGTTCAAAATTTTAGGGCTGGTTTGGGGTGTCCTAAAAAAGTGCACTTTTTGTCTTTTTGGACTAAAAAAGTTGAGAAAAAAATATGGAGGTTTGGGTTAACTTTTTGAATTTTTATAAAAAAATGTGTATTAAAAAATTGTATAAAAAGATTGGGTAAGAGATGAATAGTGACAGGTGGCCCCAGCCGTACAAATCGGAAGGTGTGAATGGGAGTTGGAAATTATTGGCTATTTTTTGTACAAAGCACTGCACAGTTTTGTTTGGTCTGTGGGGGTTATCACGGGTCCCATTTTAATAATCTGAACCGTTCAATGTGTATAACTCGTCAAACACTATGTACTTATAAAAAATCACGTTAATCGGATATCGATAGCTATCTGATCAGATATATTTATTTTTCAATCATTAATTATAATACCATCCATTTGTCGTACATAACTGATCTGATCATATAGTTATCGATATCTGATCAATGTGATTTTTTGCAAACATATAGTACTCGACGAGTTCTACACATTTAACGGTTCAGATTATCAAAATGGTACCCGTGATAGCCCCCGCAGGCCAAACAGCGGTGTGTGTGCAAATCACACCCAATCATTTCATATATGTGCACTGCCGCTGCACAGCAACCGGTTTTTGGTCAATTCGGTGTGTACTTTGGGCAGAAAATAATAATAATTATTATTATTTTTTTGGTGAATAGTGATATCTTTTTGGATTTTGGAATAACTTTTTGACTTTTTGGCTTATTTAGGATAAGCCAAACCAGCCCTTAGTCATATTATGCATCTAACTTTTGTGTAGTTGCTCCACAGTAGGTGACCGTTTTGAGGTAGCATGGTTAGTTCAATAAATTGGAGGAAAAGTTAGGTGACCCTTTTGAATTTTTTTTTATTTTTTTCATTAGATTTCTATCTATTTGTCATGGAGAAACTGTCCGTATGAGTAACACGGTGGTTCGGGGGCTGTTTTGATATGAACAATTAATTTTTATCTGAGATCATAATTATATTTGTTTCTGTTTCTCTAAGCAATCACGCTAAAGACATATCCCGCTGAGCTCTCCCTCACTGCTTGGATATGCCTATTAGGAACAGCTCAGGGGGCCATAGTGGCGCTTATAATGGAGAGGGGAAATACTAGTGTCTGGTCTACAAGCTGGGACACCAAACTCCTGACAGCTCTTTATAGTGTAAGGAGACTAAATGGGAAAACAAAATTTTCTTTCTTAATGTTAACCAGGGATAAGAAAATCAAATATATGCAGTACATTAATGACTTTTTCACTAAATTCCAACTTCATTGTAGCCATATTCTCTAAATCAACCCAACTCCCTTCTAGAGGTCCCTAATTCATAGCAGTCCCATCAAAGCTTATGTTCACTTCAATATGAATTGATGTTTCTTCACAATATATACTACAACATGAATTAGACCATTCTAGAAAAAAAAAAATATGAAACTACTATACACAAGGATGTAAAATAGAGGATTTGTTCTCATGACATGGGAGAACCAGCTTTTGCCAAAAATGGTAATATTCTACAGCTCTTTGTTTTAAAATGTATATATGCAGGGCATAGTTTGCTCGAGACTCACTTATTACATTCAAGGAGTAATAATGGAGATGGAATTTCAAGATAAGCAAACAACCAAACAGCACCAGCTAAGCAAACAATGGATCAAGATAACAATGGAGATGGAATTTCATGTCATGAGATCATCACCATCAATGCATCTAACAAAGGAACCATGACCATAGAGGTACAAAAGTATGATAAAGGAAACCAGACCACAGCCTAGCTTATGTGTTTTCTGAAGTTAACAAGTTCAAATAATTCACGGCTATAAAAACAGTAGTAGACCTCATTTTCTGAAGCATCTTCCTTTTGACTAAATTGTTTTTTAATAGTATAATGCAGAGATTTGGTTGAACATCCATGGCATTTTCAGGAGGCAATCATAGCATGTGATTTATTATGATATTTATGTATTGTCATTTTATTTTTAAATATGTATTGTACTCTAATTTTTCTTTTTCTTTTTCACCAAATTGAAAAAATAATGTTTAATAAATAAAAATTTTGAATTTTTTGCAAAAAATATTTTTATAAATATATCATTTTTTTTAAATATAAAATATTTATATGGCATCAAACCTCTTTTAAAAATAAATATAGCATTTTCACTTCAGTTCCTCTTGTTTCAATTTGAACCATTTGGTCTCTAAACTTGGAAGTCCAACTTCAATTTGTTCCTTCCGTCCAAATTTTTGTTAATTTTGACCATGTATACACCTTAGAAAATTCACAAGTGTTCCAAAATTATTAATTTTAACCAATAATTTGGACAGAATGACCTAATTGAAACTACAGTAGGGTCCAAATTAAAATTTGGATGAAACTACAGGCGTAAAAAGTGTAATTAAATTAAACCAAAAGCGGGAAAAAAAAAAAGAGTACCATTCTGAGGAAGCGATTGCAGAGTCCTCTCCCAAAGGAGTCTGAATGAAACTGTTGATTGGCATCTGCTTATTACAAAAAATATATATATACGATCAATTTAAAGAGAGTGAAGTCGGAATTATATGATTAATTGATGATTATATGCAGTAAAATAGATATATTATTATGTGCATATGTATGTATGTGTTTGTAAATGTGTTAGGGTTTTGGGAGGAGAGAGAGAGAGAGAGAGAGAGAACCTCGTAAGGAATTATTATTGTACCAGAGACTTTGGATCGTTGGTGCTGGACGCCTTGGAGATGGCGCTTCCTAGCTGATGGAGTGTCCTGGAATCACATACAAATCCACACACACACACACATATATATATATACATACATTGGTCTCGCCGTTGATAGATAGACAGATATACAAATATAGAGACATTTCAGAGAGAGAAAATAGGGCAATCTAGGTGAATCGGTGGTTCAGTTGCCTGCGATCGCGAGGAGGGGCGGCTGGTGGAGCGGCGGTAAGAGAGGGAGGGGAGAGGAGCAACAGAGTGGGAGAGGCAGAGGGAGAGAGGTAGAGGTAGAGGGAGAAAGGGCGAGAGAGAGAGAGAGAGAGAGAAAGAAACGCTGGAGAGAGAGACACACACACAGGTGCTGGTTTGTTGTTTGGATATATATATATATATATTACACCATTAGCGACTAAAATTTAGTCGCCAATTAGTTTATAAAACCCTCCAAAATTTGAAAAATCCCTCCAAATATTTTATTTTTTGGCGACCAAAATTTGGTCGCCAAAGATAAAAAATATTTTTTTATTTCTATTCGACCACTAAATGATTTTAGTAGCCAAAAATCAACATACAGCGACAAAATATTTTTTTTGTCGCTGAAAGTAAGTTTTTGGCGACTAAAACTTTAGTTGCCAAAGAGAAAAATAATTTTTTTTATTTTACATTCGGCGACTAAATATTTTAGTAGCCAAAAATCAATATACGGCGACTAAAGTTTTTTTTTTCACTAAAAGTAAGTTTTTGGCGACTAAAATATATAGTGACTAAATAATTTTTTATTTCTCATTTGGCGACTAAATATTTTAGTAGCCAAAAGTTAATATACAGCGACTAATTTTTTTTTTGTCACCAATTCTTGCATTTTTAGCGACTAAATTTTTTTTTATTCGCCAATAATGAATATACCCCGACTAAAAAAAATTAGTAGCTAAATATTTTACTTTTGGCCCATAACTTTTGGCGACAAAATTTTTTTTAGTCGCTAATTTTGATCGCCAAAGGTGCATTTTGTTGTAGTGTCACATGCTTAGATCATATTTATTTTCCGTGCGATTCACATCATATTAATTTTTTTTCTTTTTGGGTTTCATGAATGCAGCTATAACGGCACTGATGCATACGCTTAATTCAAACTAGCCAACATATTGCATGCCATGGAAATCGCAAGACAACTTAAGGTAAATATATATATATATATACATATTTAAATTTTTTTAAATGATGTGGCATTTTTGACGACCAAACATCGTTTATGTGAGACAAAAACAAAAAAAAAAAGGATAATGTTTTCTATCTTTTGATTCTGTCTCAGTGAAAAGTGTGTTTGTTGTTACAGTCAAGAAATGCAAGAGTAACCATAAATGCAGTACACCCAGGAATTGTGAAGACTGGCATCATCAAAGACCACAAAGGATTTATCATAGGCATGTATTATTTCCATCATTAAAACTCTGAATTTTTTTTGGAGATGAAAGATGAAAATAAAATTTTGATCTTTCTGCTCCATTTTTCTTACAGATTCTGTGTTTTTCCTCACATCACTATTCACTTCACTCTTAAAAACAAGAAAAACATAAAGATACAAATTATTATTGATACAATGTAAGATTAAGGAAATACGAGTAGAAATTATTGTACACAGATGTGCATATACATACATAATATATAAATTGGGGAAAGTTGAGTTTTGACGAAATTGTTAACCGAGAAGAGAAACAAACAAAGGAAATCAATACAAAATGAAAATAAGTCTTGAAATTCAATAAAAAAATTTGAACTTACGTATATATGCTCAGTGTGATTGGACAAACTGAACTATGCAACAAACCCTATCTCCTAGATCCTCACCCCACCTCCATAATCCCACTTATAATATAAAAACCTGTGTGTATATCCCAGATCAAATAGAAAAAAACCCAAAAAGGTATACATTAAACACTAATTTTTTTAAAAAAGAATAAAAATACTAGTTTCACTAGAATTTAAGCCTTCTCCTTATTAAAATCGAACTTAACCAAACACCAAAAAATTGAAAAAGCTATCTCTTAACCTTTGTTTTAAATTAAACAAACCAATTTGTGAGAATCGATAGACTAATCTAAAAGATAAAAACAGAGCAACATTATTTCAAACGAGATTAAAAAAAAAAACATCTTAAACCCTATTTTTAATTAACCTCTGCAACCGATTTAGGCCTTGGGGCTAAACCAGCTTTCTTAGTTTTTTAGACCGAACTCAGAAAGCTGCCCCTAGACGATGAGCCGGTCTAACGAGCAACCTGCTCAAACCGAGCTACCAAACCTTTTGACGAACCGAGGTAGAACCAGTTTAAGAGGCCGAAGTAGGGCTCTTATACCTTGCTTTTAAATTGTAGCACGGTCCAATGATCAGTGCTTAACCCCTTTGTTTTCTACTTTGCAGACTTAGGTTGCCCAGGCATTCCTTCTTGTGCTCAACCGAGCTACTTGAGTCCAATCTTCCGACCGGGATAACTTATTAATAATTTATACCACAAATGGGTAAGTATAGGTATCTGGTAGATACCCCAGGTGGCATGGCCGAATTCCGAAGGGATTATGGCATTCCAGATGATGTACACCTTACCCTAGCCAAAAAAGAAACCATTCCGTGGAACAACCAAGGCTTTGTCCCCTTTACTGTTTTATCTATTATAGAAACCGGACTAAGGTTCCCCGTCCAGCCTTTAATTTGCGAATTTCTTAGGCAAACCAGACTATACCCAACCCAGCTATCCAATAATACATACCGGATAATAATGGGTATTGCCGAGCTAAACCGCCAAGCAGGCTTGAACCTCGGTTTAGCCAAAATCTTCCACCAGTACTCCATAGGTTCCAAAGATGATGGCTGGGTTTATTACCTTAGGATACGCCGACGTGGAGAAAAGATAATAAAAGATACACCGGACAAAGACGTTAATGATGCTTATCCTTTTACACCCCCCCCACTGCTTAAACCAAGTGGGATGGTTTTCATCATGGCCGAACTTCCATACAACTGAAATAAACCTGGATATGCCGAGCCACAGATTAAGCCGGACTATCATTGGTTCGGTTCTCCCTTCATTCTTCCTTACCTCGGTTTTCTCCTGTTCAACCCATAGTACATTCAAACTGAACCCACGATTCTGGACCGGTATAACTCCAAACTGTTTCCGGACCGAAGTACTTTACAACTCTTAAGCCGAAGTAACTTGTTCTTCTTTCGACTGGAGTAACTTTGTCCCTATAGGGCCGAAGTAATATTACAGCCTCTTTTACACAGCCCTTCATACTTTGGGCACAAAATCCATCTCATAGCTCGGCCCAATTTTCACCAAAAATTACTCTCTCAATTGCCCCTTAATTCCATCTGCACAGCATGATTAGGATTACCAGTCTACTAGCCGAGCTGGAGTTTTTTAAGCTTTTCCAGCCGAGCTAAAAAACTCCTAAGCCTTTCAAGTCGAGCTAATTTTTACTCCGGGCTCTGTTTTGTCCGGTCAAAACGTCTCTTCAATCACTGACTGTAACGCTTCACTTTCCAATGACACGTGGCAGGTTCTGATAGGCTGTGAGCTGTTATCACGCCGCCTTCGTACTTCGAAATTTTTGAACAGTCCCGCCCCTTTTTGCCGCTTTTTCTCTCTCATCTTTCACAAAATAACCTTTCTATTCTTGAATCATTCACCTTCCATTCTTCATCTTCTCTCTCTGTGCTTTTGCTGTTCTTCCGTTGCTTCTGAAGACTGATTTTGCTGCCACTTTCCCATCTTCAGATCCCTCTTCTTCAACCTGGTAAGTAAACTCATTTTGCTTCCTTTATTTTGCTTTCGTATCTGTTCTATGTATTTTGTTCACCGTATTTTTTGCAAAACATTTTCTTCCATTTTTGCTTCGTCTTTGTACTTTTATGAAAAAATATTAGCAGAACCCATGCGTGTATGAATTAGTCTTAGATCCAAAATTAGGTAGCAACCGAACTAGGATACTGTTCGTCCTATATAGGCAGATCATTGCAGTCAATAACCGAACTAGAACTTGAATAAATAACAAAAGTTTCAACGAGTCACCAACTTCTGATTTACTTTAGCCGAAATAAGATCACCGAGGTTTGAACATATTAAATTAGGAACCTCGGTTTTCAACCGAACTAAGCCTTTTGGAGCTAAGCCAGCTTTCTTAGTTTCTAAACCGATCTCAGAAAGCTGCCCCTAGAGGCTCAACCGAAGTAACTTTATTCAAATTTCAACCGATTTAGGCCTTTGGGGCTAAACCAGCTTTCTTCGTTTATTAGACCGAACTAAGAAAGTTGCCCCTAGACGATGAGCCGGTCTAACGAGCTACCTGCTCAAACCGAGCTACCAAACCTTTTGACGAACCGAGGTAGAACCAGCTTACGAGGCCGAAGTAGGGCTCTTATACCTTGCTTTTAAATTGTAGCACGGTCCAATGATCAGTGCTTAACCCCTTTGTTTTCTACTTTGCAGACTTAGGTTACCCAGGCACTCCTGCGTGCGCTCAACCGAGCTACTGAGCACGATTTTTGCACCGACATAATTTATTCGTAAATTATACACCAGATGGGTAAGTATAGATATTTGGTAGAGACCCCTGGTGGCATGGCCGAATTCCGAAGGGATTATGGCATTCCAGACGATGTACACCTTACCCTTGGCAAGAAGGATATCATACCCTGGGGTGAGGCAGGCTTTGTACCCTTTACCCTGCTTTCAATAATAGAGACCGGACTAAGGTTCCCAGTCCAGCCTTTAATTTGTGAATTTCTTAGGCAAACCAGACTATGCCCAACCCAGCTATCCACTAATACATACCGGATAATAATGGGTATAGCCGAGCTAAACCGCCAAGCAGGCCTGAACCTCGGTTTAGCCGAAATCTTCCACCAGTATTCCATAGGTTCCAAAGAAGATGGCTGGGTTTATTACCTTAGGATACGCCGCCGTAGAGAAAAGATAATACAAGACACGCCGGATAAGGACGTTAATGATGATGACTTTTTCTGGGTATCGGGCAATTTTGAAGATCAGCAAGCCCAAATACCAGGCCGAAGTATTAACTGGAACAAAGGAAAACCTGGTAGAGTTTACTTCGGTTTTATGTATGTTTTTTCTTGTACTTCGGTTTCAGATGTCGTAACCGATCTAACAGTTGTATCCTTTTTGCAAACTCAGCTCATCTTGCTTCCTATTATAGTTACCCAAACTTGAACACACTCCGAACCGCATTACGTCTTAAAGAAAGGGGTTGGGCTAAGCTTCTAAACTTTGAGTCGACCTACAGATATAGCGGTCGCCGAAAAGCCCGAGTGACCGATTTCCTTCTTGAAGACGCACCTGAACCGGACCCAACCCTGCCCGAAATACGACTTGTCCCGTTAACTGCTGAAAAAGAGATGGCAAAGAAAAGCAGAGTCAGGGCCCTTCTGACCGAAACAACCAGGGCCGAAGTACCACCGTCAACCCAAACGCAGCCTGCCGTTGTGGCCCTCCCTTCTCAACGGCCTTCTACATCTCGCCCTTCTAAACGCGCCCGATCTACATCGACCGAACATCGCCTTGTCGATGAGGTCGAATCCATCCCACGAAGTCCTCAACCTATTCTCCAACCGGAGCAAACTGATCGAGCAAAATCTTCCAAATGGGCACCGAAGCTAACCTTCAACGATCGAGATATCAAGGATTCTGATTCGGTTATTGCTGACAAAGATCATCAATTGGCCTTCAGCCTGGCCAAGAGTGTGTGCCTCCCTAAAGATATGGAGCACCACCAAAAGCAATTAAACACCGAATTGAAGTCTATCCGGTCTACATCGAAATCCATGATTTTGGTAAGTAGTTCTGTCCGTTTTCCTGTCTAATTTTTCCCGACTTTTACTTCGGCTTAATTGAAGTCTTCGTTTTGTCAGGCCTTGCAGAAAAACAACATTACTTACAAGAAAGTCCTGGAGCTTAGAAAAACAACAAGGCAAGCAGTGGCGGATGCCGAAGCGAAGGAGGCCGAGTTAGAAGAAAACAGAAAGCAGATGGCCGAGCTACAATCTGAGATCGGCCGACTTGCCGAACTGGTTAGTTCGGCCGAAGCAGAGAAGCAGAAAGCCGCCATCGTTATGAAAGA